AATAATTACTCTCTGAATATTTCTATATTTCTATTTTTCTTAATTTATTTACCTCTATCCATACAATACCAAGTAGTCCCCTACAGGACGAACCCGAAACAATACCCCTCTTTCATTTTCTATTCTATCAAACACTTTCAAAGCCAACAGTCCTTTTCAGGACACCCATATGGTAAATGTGCAAAGTTATGATTCAATGTAGAATCATTCAAGAGAAAGAGCACCTTTCCTTAGGCAAAAGAACATGCTACATTTGTAAACATACCTGCCTAAAATATAATAATTACAGAAACTCATAACTGGAGTTGAATTTCACCAATTATTGATGCTTAATTAAGTCTTAATAGGCTGTGGTTGACTAAAGGAACAACAAATGCTCTGCCACATTCAACATTTGTCACACATAGTTGACTGTCTGGGGCTTTGATCTATAGCGAGTAAAGAGTTGAAACAAGTTTATGATTGAATATCATTAAAATCATATGTTATCATGTGTGAGACTTTTAAACTTTAAAATATTTTAAAATAACATTTATAAATGGTACAGTATCTAGGAAATGTTGACTAAAATGTAATGTATTTCGCAATTTCCTGTATGTGTGAAACCTTTAAAACAGTGTAATACAATTAGTTGACACTTCTACTCTGTACAGTAGCTATGCATTATCCATCTGTTCTCTTGAATTTTAATCCCTTTTTATAATCTCTTTCATCGATTCTTGACTCAAATGACATTGCAGCTACACGTACATCTCAATCTAATTTCATTACCACCATGTCTTTCTACCTTTTATTCTCTAATAATTTACCTATCTATTTTCCCTTCTTTAAACAATAAGATTAAATTTAGGTTATCTTCTACCTTTAATGATTTTAAGATTACATTATACACATAGGTGTAATCTGCAAATTATGTCATATAATATTAGTTAAAATTGATTAATAAGCAAATATCATTGCTATTAATCATGCTACAGATTAGAATAAGAATTTTCTGCTTTTTGTTTTTGCTTTTGTTTTATAGCAAGAGGAAGGTTAAAGGTGAAGGGAATGGAGTCGTCAGAGGATGCTTATTTCCCCGTTTCTGATACTATGACTCATCATCAGAACACTGCTACTGGACACCCATCCATTTTTCATTTCTTCACTGGGGGGGGGGGGGGCCCAAGAATATAAATATGAGTGAACCCCCAAACTAGGGGTACAGATGGGGGACAGTCATTAGCCTTGGCGTCATGGAGTCTCATCAGTGAGCCACAGGGGAGTATGAAGGTACCGGGAGTGACAAGACTCGTGCCCACGACCTGGATGTAACATGGCCCCCATCCTGTGAATATACTGAATTAGAGGATGGAGAGGGGATGGAGGAGAGAGAAGAGAGGGAGGAGAGGGAGAGAAAAAAATATTGGCATGTTAATTCAGTCTTAGGGTCGCATCTCCGAGGTTGAGCCTGGGATGAGGTGCTGGAGTAGGCACATAATCCTGCGATTTGATTGCGCACGTATCATTCCCCCGTGAATCTCTCCCGATGTGACGTGTGTTTGTGGGTTGCAATCCGGCGCAAAACAAACTAGCACTGTAAGGGTATAAAGTATGTCAGCTCAGGCTTCCAGCGATAAGTCACGGTTGGATGACAATGAGTCTTAAAGCAACCCAAAACCCAGGCAGGTTCTCTTGGTTCTGGTTTAGAAGAGGGTTGACCTTGAGGTTAATCCCCGTCACTCATTGGTTTCTGCCTGTCACCTGACCTCTATTCTGGCTAGAAGACTTAGACCCCCGCTGTCAGCACCGAGCGAGAACCCAATCCCAATCCCAGGATGCCGTTTGTGCTCCCCTACTCCTGGGGTTACGCTGATCCCAGTACACAAGACGTCAGAGTGGTGGCTCGGCTCGGGGTGGGACCCTCGTCTCTCCTTTTACCTTCTTCTCTCCGTTCCTCCATCCCGCATGTTGCTGACGATGATGTATCACCCTCGTTATCGGAGATGGCATGGAACGCTTGCACGGACTGCCAACTGCCAACTCGCACAATGGAGTCGCAGCCCAGGAAATTAAATTAAGGTGCTCAGTGTTTTGGACGAACTGATCCCGACAAATTAGCCTTGGAGAATACGCACCCTTCTAGAGGGCCACTCCCCCAAGGTTTTGAGGGGGGAAGCATTGGCCCAACTCCCTGATCCTCTTGCGCCTGCAAGCTCGCCTGCTCTGACAAAAACCTGCTGGGTTGCAAAATGGTCCGGTAGCTAGTCACCCCTACCGATAATCTGTTTACAACCTATTCTAATCTAGGACTTAAAGACTTGTGGGGCAATCAAGGAGACGAGTGGGGGGTTTCGCTATCCATCATACATACATTCCTTAGAGACACTGACAAATACTCCACAATGGGCTTGGCTAAGCTTCAATCCATTTATTATGGGCTATTTCTCTCTAGCGCTCATCCCTCAAACCGAATTATACATTGACATCATGATTGAGATGGCAGTGACTTCACAATGGAGTGACACACATGCATTACTATGTTCATTATCACACAATGGTATTTACAAGAACTTTATCTATGTACATCTATCAACAAACATTTATGACACGAGTCTTTAGAATGGAAAGTGCTAGCTTGACGATGCATGTTGAAATCCTTAGACATCTACTGAGTGTTAGACAGGAATTAACTTACACCCTTCTGCCTCTTAGCATTTGCTATCACTTTGAAAAACATAAGATTCCATTGCTATTAACTTAATTTCTATTGAAAAAAATATATAAGCCCCTCAAAAACATGTTAATGACTATAATCACATTCACTTAAAAAAAAATATGAATTACAGATGTTCTGATCCCGTTATGTACGATTCATCCTCGTTACCTTCCAAACTAAAACTTTCCTTGTTTTCTACACGACTTCCTGTGAAATTCACCCCATTTCCAAAAATAACAAAATAATATAGACCCCTCAGATAAAATTCTAATAGTCATAAGTCCATGTTCATCCATGTGAATTACATGATCTTCCTGCAATTACACACCCTCATCAATTAACTTTAAAGCTTTTCTTGTTTTTACATGGCTTCCAATGATACTAAACTCAATCCTTTAAAGTTATATATTAAAGCCCCACAGAAAACATACACCACTATCCTTCTTTTCTATCTAAATTGTATGACCTTCACAGTTTCACATAACCTTCATCTAACTCAAATCCTTCCTTATTTTTTTTAAGAATTCATATAATGTACCTGTCATTCCCATACCCACTACGCATATTTTCACACCCCTTCACCTAATTACAGCATGCAATTTAAGTACAGTCGGCTTCTAAAAATAACTGCTCTACCGATACCATTCTCAGATGCAGAAATCCACATGCCGTTTCTGGAATGATTTTACCATCGCTTTGTAATGTATGGTCAGGGTTTTTAGCCTTGGTCTGGGCAACTTTATAGGTCATGTTCGGCATGCACGGTGGCCGGCCGCTAATCGCTTCAGCCGGCATCTTTCAGTAAACCTCATTACCGAGAGAGACCCAACTGGGGAACTAGGCCCATTTAATTGGGGGATAGCAATTTCATCTCCCAGACATAATCCTTCTCGTTCATTCATACGCAATGGACTTGTAGAAGAAAAATACCTATGGTAGTTGGTTGCTAGGGTATTCTACGGTGCAACTGTTTTTTAATGTTTTTTGTTGTTGGTGCTATAATATTTTCAAGATTCTACTACAATGCTCCACTTATTGTAAAGCTAAAAGTCTGCATTTTAGTGTGGAGCAATGCACTATTTACTGATCATTACATTTAATTGCACTATTTACCGATCATTACATTAAATTGTACCTTTTTCCCCTTATAACTATCCACGATAAGAAAACATACATCTTTTAAAACTATCAAACACCCATTGAGTCAATATAGATCAAGGTTCACATAATGCCCATCTTATTTTCATGTCATTTTTCTTAGGTGCAATGAATATAAACCTTAGCAATATTCGCAGAAGGTTCCGATATGAAGTCGTGCTACCTCGAGTCAAATATATGATGTGGATCATTTTCCCCATAAGCCTTACAAAGCCTTGTGACACACTAATGTTATGGTTAACTTTAGTTACAAAAAGTAAGATCAATTTGGTGCAAAAGGCAGGATTATGTTCAAATTGATACTTTGGATGAATGATGCAATGTCATTAAGTAATCTGCTGGCTCCTCTATAATTTATATTTCATTTACTAACTTTACTACCAAGCACTATGGATTTTGTGGTATTTGGTGCCTACCAGTAATTTGAATATCATTTCCTTTAGTCCCATAGTCCGAAATTCCATTCGTTTCTGTCAACCTCTTGTGCACATCATGACCTTTAACCTCTGAACTTTGAACCTTGAGTAATAACCTTTACTAAATTCTTAACCCATTGCAACTACAGGCCTATGTCATATCCTAATGTATAACAATTGCTAATCCCTACTTGTTTTACCCAGTCATAAGAACTACAATATGATTACTGAATTGCATTTATAGACCTATATACACATGCTACAAATATATACTGTTTGAGTAATCGAATGCATTTACAGTTGAATATTACAAAAAGTTATTAATGATTTTCAAGTAAACAACACATTATGTGATTTTCATTTTTTTTTTAATTTGTACAGGCTCTGTACACATTATTAACAAAGAAAATCAACAATTGAGATTAAATTATAATATCTGTTATTAAAAGCAGCGATATACATCCAATAATGTACAGAAGTCAACTATCTATATCTAGTTATCTACAATTGTCTTGTGAGAGGTATATATATATGTGTAACCTACACAAAGAAATGTCAACAGTTCATACACTATTTACAACAAGTTGACTTTGTCCTGTAATCAATGTACAGTCAAACCTGCTTTAGTGACCACCTGTCTACAAAGACCACATTTTTTGTTTTCCTTAAAAATGGTTTCTCATTGAAACATGTACTAAAGAAGGAATCTGTACATAAAGACCACCTGTCTGTGAAGATCACTTTTCTTGTCTCCCTTGGGTGGTCTCTATAGACAGGTTTCACTGTACCTTCTAGCATTGGCAAACTTTCTACAACAATTTGAACTATTTATGTGCTTTCTTATTTACATGTAACATGTTTGCTCTAACATTTGGTCTTTCCCCTAATGAAGGTGAAATTCTTTAGTATCCTAAACCCTTGTTAGTCGTCATATTTCCATTATCTTGGCATAGATTGGGCCAATATCTATTAAGCACATATGGGATCATCAGGGCCCAAACCATAATGATTTGTCATAAATTGCTGCAGTCCCAGATTTAAATCTTTTCTAAATCTACTACAGTTGAGCTGTAGATTAGAAGTTTAATTTCTACTGGCGGAAGCCTGTAAAACTGAGTACAACGCATAAAGGTGAAATAAGATTCAGAATCAGTTATAAAAAGTTACTGATTTGAAGCACTAACTACCTGCATGGCTTGGGATGTGTCACCGATTCATTTCATTGTCTAAGGAGCAACACTTGCCTCATCTGCTAGCCCCAGGCTCAGGGGCCACTATAGGCTCGTTCACATATGCTGCAATAAACCGTGGCGATGTTTTTGAGTATAAATAAATGGAAAACAGGGGTGAGCAGAAAATTATCTGCACTTTACGCTACCCCCTATTTAAAACATACTGGCTTATCTGTGTGTTATAGGATACAGAAATGTAAGTTGCATGATACTTATGTCAATTCATTTTGATGTGAATTGTTTTAAAGGCATTTTACGACGTGAGATGTGAACAGAGGTGTATGGATATCTCACGTTCCACTCGTATCAGTGTCCGAGGAGGACATAGACGAGTACTTATAGATGAACGCCTTCTTGTTGAGATGCTCCGCAAACCGGACGTGTTTGTTGCGCCGCGCCCCCGTATCCGCGTCGGTGGGAATCCTGGACTTTCTGACGGTGGCGCGGATGTAACCCTGTAGCGCCCTCAGGTGTGTGAGAAGCTGCCTGCTGGCGAGGCGCACCAGGTCCGTCGGCCGGCAGGGACCGTCCATCGAGGAGGTGGTGGAGGTGTCGGAGAGGGCGGAGCGGTTGCTTTGGTTACCAAGTACCTCCTTGGTGGATGCGGCTTGCGGGAGACGGTTGACCACCACTAGGAGAGCGTCGGTTGGTAGACGCAACTTCAGAGGATCAAACTCAGAGCCTGCAAAGATGGAAACAACAAAAGGGAGATTTTTACACTCCCAGTATATTACCAGTGATCTGCAATATTTACATACAACCTATAACTCTCTATAATTAATTCTAGGATTGTGTTTATAGGTACAAGAAAGATTTACATTTATCACATGTTGTAGAAATATGTTGTCTGAACATAAACATTTAATCCTGAACATTTGTTTTATTCTCCTTGACCAGATTTTCAAAAGGATTATTCAATGTTATGGAATAGTCCATACGTGTGTACATGTATGTAAGAAATAGAACCCAATTCCCTTGTTACGATTCTCATTGATTAGACGAGTGCATAGTTTTTTAGTTGGATTTTAATTACTTTCCTGCCCCATGACAAAAAAATACAATTGTATAATTTAAATGTATGAAAACCATATTTGGAGGCAATATAAAGAATAATTTAATTTCATGGGAAAGGTTTAAAATATGTATTATTCATGTCTCATCAAACACATGGATGTACAAGACGAGATGGTAATGGTTCGTTATTGTAGAAGCCAGAAACAGAAACAAATACATGTACACTGTGTATATACAGAATGCAAAAATGACAAGGGTAAGGTAAATGATCGACCAATATATAAATAGGAAAACAGAATAGATCTATGAAAGTGGATAAGTTAAAAATCCACACCCACTTTCTATTGCCATTATTTTTCCCTCAAGCAATGATTAAAAACAGCATGAAAGGAAATGCCACACAAGTATCATAATTGTGTTAAAAGTTTGTTAATGGTTTTTATATACCATGGCATATTTTTCATAGAAACAAGGGGAAAAAATGAAAGAATATGTACATGAGAGCAGAAAAACCCTAAACCAAGCTCAATATTTTATCTACATGAACTTCAACTAGAGGAAGTGTAAGATGAAAGTCAATAGATGCAATTATAGACCCCACATAGCTTTATTTCCCCTTTTTTATTTTATAGACTTGAAGAGAGCTATTTTGAGGAATGTGACATTTGGAAACTTTGGTGAAAGATGCCAAGATATTGCTTTCAACCAACTTTTTGGTTACGCATAGTTCATGTAGCACTAGCTTGGGTGAAGGGATCAAGTGCAAAATAGCTTGAATTGTTTCAATAACCTTAAAGGTAAAGACCAGTATTGGTAACGCCCCAATTTCAAAAAATGAAATGGAAGCTCTCATTACCAATCATGTGAAAGAATATGTTTTGACTAATACATGATGATAAAAAAAAATTGCCGGGAAACCGCCTACTAATTCATATATTTGGTAAATTTATCTCTCTCATGGTCGTGTGAGAGAGATAGGGTAGTCCCATATACATCTTTCTGTGTATAGTGCTTGTAACTTTACGAAGAATGGGCCAAATTTCTTATCATTTTGATGATTCCAGAACCTTGCAGATGCTAGATGCTAGATGATCAACCTTTTCTGATCGATTCCACAACGTTTCTTTCACAATGCAATCGCATGACCATTACTGGTCTTTACCTTTAATACCAAGAAAAAAATAGCATGATGGAGATAGAGAAAGAGATAATTTAGAAAGAAAAAGAGACAGAAAGAGAAAGGAGAAAGATGAAAAGGAAAGAGAAAGACAGATAGATATAATTCAGACACTGAGGTTTTTAACATAAATGACCACAAAAAAAAGAAAGAAAGACAGTGAGAGAGAGAGAGAGAGAGAGAGAGAGAGCAAGAGAAAGAGAGAGAGAGAAAGATAAAGAGAGAGAGAGAGAGAGAAAGTGAAAGGTGAGATAAAATAGAAGAAAATAAATTAAAGAGAGACAACATGTAGATAAAGAAGGAGAGAGAGAGTTACAATGATTATTGGTGCTTATTTTTCAAAAAATCTAATTTGCCCCTAAATCCTGTAATTTTCCATCTTGCATAAAAATTAGTAGAAAAATGTATGTATGTGGAAGGGGAAAAAATATTAATAAAAAAAAAATTAAAAAAAAAAAAATGTATGAGAATCTTCATTTTGGACAGAATTACGAATCCAATCTCAGAGTGGCTACCATCCAGATGTGCAGATATAAAGCTACAGTAAAAGTTAACAATGCTTTAATTAGTACGAATATACGATGACGAAATCTCAAATGAAAGGCTGGACAGTGAGCGGTGAGGGTAGAGATGATGGAGGGATAGGCGGTGTAGAGATGGGAATGACAGAAGCATTGATCCGTGAGAGATGAAGAGTCAAATCGGATGCCACTCCGGGCTTCTATTTCGCATTCAAACCCTGACACTGATTGACATGGGTCTAAATGGCGTCTGACGTTCAGGCCACGATGCGTTTCACGCTCTCCGGAATTCACGGTGTGGGAAGATGAGAGAGGGGGAGGGAGAGAGAGAGGGGGACCGAGACTGGTGAAGGATGGCTTTGACGCAGGCAAGAGTAATTTGAGTGGGTAGGTGGGATTACAAATCCAGAAGTAACAACATTACAAATATGTCGTGACAAAAATTGACAAACAGATCATGTCGCTCCCTGTGCCCCCATACATTACAGCATTGCATGAATACAGATTTACAAGCTGATGTGTAGAGCAGGGCACAACAGAAGCACTTGTTCCAAAGCAATGGACAAGCAAAGTTATCTGTAGCCAGGGCAAGCAGTTGAGCAAGCATTGTAGATAAATGGACCATCGGAAGAAGTTAGGAAACATATTGTTAAAATTCTGAAGCAAATCAGCAGAGTTTGAAAGTGGTTCTGAAAGCTTAAACCGTCAATCACCGGATGAACATTTTTGCTTTTTGTAGCCAGAAGGGCATTAAGATAGATACTTTAACACAGATTGAATGCCCTTTTGGCCCTAAAAAGATAATTTGTAATCTCTGTCTGCAATACAAGGCCTCTTTGATGTGTGAGTAGGTAAAAGTTGTTAGCTATGCCCCTCCAGAGTTTATAGTCCTAATGAACATTTGCTTTGTACATATACCACTCTAGCAGAGAGAGAGAGAGAGAGAGAGAGAGAGAGAGATAGAGAGAGAGAGAGACACACACACACACACATACAGAGAGAGAGAGACAGATATATATATATGTATAGAGAGATAGAGAAAGAGATAGAGTGAGAGAGAGAGAGAGAGAGAGAGAAAGACAGAGACAGCGCAAAAAAAAAGAAAGAGAGAGAGAGAGAGAGAGAGAGACACACACACACACACGCATACAGACAGAATGGGAGAGAGAGACAGAGAGAGATATATATGTATAAAGAGAGTTACAGAGAGGGAGAGGGAGAGAGAGAGAGAGAGAGAGAAAGATAGAGTATTGCTAATCCAGCTACATTTAAATGCCGAGTCGACCAATGATTTTGATGATGAATATTCAGACCTGTGCTTACCAATCATTCCACTTTCAGGATCGTTTGACTGGTTTCCTGATGACATAATCAAAATAAGAAAATAGAGGATACCCAAAAATTGAAGACACACACACAAAATATAAAGAAGAAGAAACAAGCCTTGATTGGTAAGATGAATGCCGTACCAAAGGACACTAGTGAATCCACTTGGTTTTTAACCCACGACCTCCCAATTATGAGACCCTGCCCTACCACTATTCCATCTTGCCTGTTTTCTTTGATTATAGTGTTTATATTTTCAGACTTGTTACCTACATAATAACTGTGTACATTTTCAGGGCTGTAGCCGGACACTTTCTCCAGCAAAAATTGCCCCAGCTTTATTTCGTCAAAGGTATAGGGCAGGGGTGATAGTGAGCACTACAAAAAAAATAGGTTTTTTGTTTTCCCCTCAACCACGCCCCCCTTGAGTAAAATAAAAAAAAGAGGATTCGCGGGGAAAAAATGGCATTTAACATTCCCCCCTTTCGAGTAAGAAAATTGGGACAAAATTGGGGAAAAAATAGGGCAAGATTGGGAAGAATAGAGAAAATAAGAGGGAAATCAGGAAAATCAGGATAAAATAGAGAAGAAAAAAAAAATTGGTAAAAAAAAAAAAAAAAAAAATCGGGATTTTTTTTTTTTTTTTTTTTTTTTTTTTTTTTTTTAAATCGGGAAAAAAAAAAAAAAATCGGGAAAAAATCGGGAAAAATAAAAAAAATCGGGAAACCGATTTAAATCGGGTTTTTATCAGGCCTGATAGGGTAATTATAGGGTTAGGGTAGGGGTTGCAATTAAGTTTAAGATTAAGTTTAGGGTTAGGGTTTTGGTATAGTGTAGGGTCCAGGGTTAGAGTTATGAACTCGCTTAAGTGTAGTGTAGGAAATTAATGCGCAGCAATTGTCACAGGAGCAAGGGTGCACAACCTTTCTGGGCAGTAGGTGGCAAATCCTGTTCAAAAGAAGACTGGTACCCCTTTTCTTCCCAACATACAACCTGATGGAAATTATAGAAGGACCGTATATAGTGATATCTTTCCTGTTCAATAGAAGACTGGTACCCCTTTTCTACCCGAACATACAACCTCTTGGAAATCATAGAAGGACCGTAAAAAGTGATACCTTTCCATCCAGTCACGATGACGTCATAGAGCTCCTGAATGTGGCTCCTCAGATCATGGATCTCCCCCGACAGGCCCAGACTACGGGCATAGGACTGACTGTAGTAGGATCCTGGTCTAGACTGGTCCTCGGGGGGACTGGTCTGGGTACTGCTCAGCTCCAGCTGGGCCTCCTGGGTCTTGTTTAGAAGGATCTTGGCGGAGGTGGAGATGGAGAGGACCAGGTCTAGCGGCTTCTTGACTTCCTGCAGGAGAAAAATCAAGGAAAGAGAATTAAAACAAAAGTTACAAATTATTGGGCATAGTTTTGAGTATTTGGCCATGTATTGTCTCACATGTTTAATCCCAGTTATAGGGTAACATAAATTAACATCAATATTTCCATTTTAAGTTATAACCATGGCCTGTCTTATAAGTTGATATTAATTGCAACTTATTTGCGATTGACATCAAAAGTTTAGGCTAATAATAATGATCTTAATTTATATAGCGCTATTCGAAATACAGTCTCTATCAAAGCGCTTTACAGATAATATTACCCCGGTCATCGGATTCAATCATGCACAATGTGCATCATCTTCACTCCCTGGGGAGTATTCGTACCATTTGGTCACCGTGAGAGCATATGGCAATTACTGACACAAAGGCTTTCATCATTCCCATTTCTCTCCTGGGTATGGAGTGGCAAATATAGATAAATGCCTTGCCAAAAAACATTAGCAACGTATCGGGTCGAAATCCACAATCTTTGTATTTCGAGTCAAGTGCTTTTAAAACCTACTCAACTACGACACCTCTTCTACATCACACTATCACAGTATTGTACCTTAAGAAAACACATTCATGATGTGCATGTAATGATATCATTCAATGGCTCTGTAATGGATCTTGCCGTGTATAAATAGAGAGAGGTGGAATGATGATACGAGAGGCCTAAAGACCTGTCTCAATGAAAATATCCATCATCACTTGCTGTAATTGATTGCATTAAAGCGTATCAGCAACAGGGAGCAATAGAAACCCAAGAGTATCAATCGCTAGCTCCGCGTATCAAGGTATTTGATCAACATCTTATGCACTGCTACAAGTATCTACATGTACGTACAATTAATTCCCTACATTGTAGGTATCCCAATGGAATTGCAACATATTACAGCCATAATTGTTAGATAAATTTAAGGATGTGTAGCGATTCTACCCTCTCCATTGCATGCAATTGCTAGAAAGTTTGTTGCATGTCGTTGAATAGTTATTCCAATCCAAACTACATGTATATTCCTCTATCCCTACATTTTTTACTGTGCCCCTATGATTTTACATGTATCATGAGAAAAAAATTGAGCTGATTTATTAATTCAAATAAAAATTTAACCGATTTATATTGAAGAAACTGAACTAAAAAGTGTATTCAGCTTTAAGAAAATATTTAAAAATGTCAACAAATTAGATCAAAAGGTATTAAATACAGTAGGAATCAAGATTATATAGACAGTGACAATTGGGATGAAGGCTACACATTAAGGATTAGGTCGTTTTAACCCATAAATTTTCCCTTAGTAAATACAGATGATTTTTCTTCAATGTTTCAATAGTAATTTTTCCTATATTTTAATCCAAATTGTTATTTAAAAAAAAGAAAAAGAAAGAAACACTATTACAACCATCTCAACTGTTAAAATAATACCTCTATAAATATCATGTGATGTAAGGTTGAATTGAGAGAATTGAAAACAATATATGCATGACGCTTTGTATCAGTAAAACAATAATGCTCTATAGTTTCTCTACTAATTCCTTCATGTTGCTAACTCTAGGCTACCATTAAGATGATCACAGCACTGAGACATTTCTTCTCATAATGCACCCCGCTCAAACTGGGTCAAGAGAGACAGCTACAGGCAAAATACTTTGAAAAACTTGCCATAAAAGGGCCTTCTCAAGACAGTTAATATGAAAAACTTGAATTGCAAGAACTTAAATATTTAAAGGTGATTGAATTATAACCTCAAATTCAGACACATCATTATGATGTGTCCGCTCAGTCAAAATTGTAAAAATTTCCCCAAAATGCGATGTATGTATTTCAACATTGTACACCTGGCATTCCAATTTGTTCTCTCCCCCTTCCACATTATGTAAATATACTGGTATATGGAAAGTTCATTCTAATTAGTAACCTTGCAAATTAATTTGAAGGTAGCCTGAACTTTCAACCACAATAAGGCATCCTTAGGGGAAGGGAAAAAAAAAAGAGAAAAATGGTCCCTCGTTCCTCATATCGAAGAGAAAATATGATGCCTTTGCCAGACGATCTGATGAGGGTAACAGTAACTGATCGGCCCGTGTTTTGAATGGTGCGAAAAGGAAAAGACGTAATTGCCGCTTGGTGCAGATAATAGCTCCCGACCACCATGTTGCCCCACTAGACTACACGTTAACAAATTTGATTAGAGTTGATTAAGAAGGACCTAATTATGAGGCTTGGGTAGTTAGAGCTTGAGTTAATTGCTTCTCTTTTACCGCTTTTTCTGATGGAAAAGCTTTCTATATTATGTTTTCTCTGAAAATTTCTTGAGCAAATCCAGCAAAATGAAGAGAGGGGGAGAAGGTATACTAGTAAATAAGCATGAATACCGGTAGATGCAGTTTTCTTGGACTCTATTATATAAAAAGCATCAAAGTCTGAAACTGATTTTTGTTGTATTGTTTAATGTATTGTCATAAGAGATACAATTCAAAGCGAAATGTATACATGTACTGGTATAACAAATCAAAAACACAGAATAAGCATTTATAAGTTATAAATGCCATTATATATCTTACAAAAGTATCTTTAAACAAATTGTAAAACTTTTATGTGAAAATACAAAAAATTTGTACATAAAAGAAGAAAATACAAAAGAAAAGGAAAAAAAAACAGAAATAACGAAAACAAACTTATTTGGTAATTTTATAACTTTTGCACAAAGTACACAAAAGTTATGAGGGAAAAAATGCTGAATTCGGCATCTCCCTATCGTACAACTTATCAGATTCAACTAAATTTGTCCAGGTTTTCTTGTGCAAGGTTGCAAATGAAAGATGAAGGACCCTTAATGACTTTGCGTATCTGCGTTGAAAAACTATTATGAGAGAAACCCCCATATTTTGCACTTCTCCGCACTTGGTCTCTTGTTTTTTACGTGTTTTTTCTATTAACCATCACAGGTGTAAGGATGACTGTAGATTTTTGGGTGGAAAGGCTGTCTGATGCGATAACTGTATTTAACGTCTCAGAAACTGAGCAAGAAAAATACTTGATCATCCAAGGGCAAGGTTTAAATACATCCCACATTATCATCTGTTCGGGCCAGAAGGGTGTTAAGCCTGTGTAAAAGTAAAGCAGTCAACGTCCTTCAGGCTTTCAACAGATGAGATAGTTTGTTCTGTTTTGTTTATTTTTTGTGAGTTCTAAATGGAATAGCAGGATCGAAAAGTTGTTTCATCTAAATCATATGATTATGATGTTAAGGATATTTTAAGAATACCAGCCCTGTATGTTCTGTTTGATGTAAAGTCTGAAAACAAGAGAGGGAGAGAGAGAGAGAGAGAGAGAGAGGGAGAGAGAGTTGTGACAAGACTTGGAATAGGGCGAAAGCCTGAAAGCTGGCATTAACAAAGTGTTTGGTGTGGCCTAAAATATATACAAAGTTTGCTACTGTTTTTTATTAGGGTTACCCAAACTGCCAATATTCCTATTTATCATTTATAATTTATAATTTTAGATTTAATGCTCATTATTCCAATTATTATATTTTTGGTATCAGTGAGGGTAAAATATACAGCTTAGCTTAACATTTTAAAATCAAGTACTTTTTTAATTTTCGAAAAAAGAAAAGAAACTAATTTTGATATTCTAACAAAATTTTTCTTTAGATTAATGGAAGTTTCACTGCAACAACTACTAAACCTATATATTTCAACATCAACGTCATCCTGACTACGATGGGAGAAAGAGAAGAAAAAAGTATTGAAACATTTCTATAAAATTTTATAGCTTAATTTGTTCTTCGGTCATCTTGAATTTAGAAAGAACAAACTTTAGGTGTGATATGAAAATAAGAGAAGGGAAGTATCACATATATATGCTCCTTTGACAAATTTTGCTCAGAGGTAATTTCCTACACTAACCAGGTTCCGAACTTCAACCCTTCAAAGAAAATTTATACAAACTTGTATAAAGAATCATTGTATAACTATAAAACAACTGAAGAAATAAGAAATGTCTAAAGAAACAAATTTTGAAGAGGTTAATTGACATGACAGCTGCCAATCATTGCTCTCACGACAAGCGACAACCAGAAATTGTACAATTTTCGTACAGTATGATATTCAAAATAGAGCGGGATGCTGATTCATTATCTGAATGATGCCCAAACTTGCATTTTCACTAAACAACATTTCTTTATATAATCTTTCTTTAAATATCATTCAGCCGAGAAAGAAAGTTAATTAACTTATCGTATGAACACAGATTTAGTCTTTAAGTACCTCATCCAGTTTCAAAATGAAACTGAGGATTTACTTTAAAGCTTATCTGCCATAGTTTACAGGAGGGATTAGAGCGCCCAGCAAGGTCACTGGACAGGTGGTTATCTCATCAACTCAGCTCTCAGTTAACATAAGAAAAAGAGGATCATGGGGGACCAATGGTCACCGATTAGACATTGTTTGATATAGAGGGCGCAAGTAGCTACAAGTAGTGCAGTGGGCCTTTAAGGAGGTCACAAAAAAGTAGGGCATACATGAGTATGTAATTTACACATAAACATGTGTAAATACAGGTGCAATGATGAATCATAGAAACGACTTCTCGCGCATCTGACTAACGCCCTCATTACGAAACACTTTCTTTCATCTGAAAGTCATTTTACTTTTTCCCCCTCCAACAATGTATTAATGTATTTGTATTCTTTCAATTTTTTGTCTTATATTCTTTCTCATATCAGCGCACCTTATGCATTTATTTTGCTACAAAATATGTTTCTAATTCACATATTAAATTTTACTTTAACATACCCATATTGTTGTTAAAGCTGCCAAGTTATAATTATACTGATTAATCAGTAATTATCTGAATGCTTTTGTATTACTCTCTATCTTAATACTATGTCTTAAATTAATTCTGTTTGGTCGAAAGGTTTTCCTCCGTAAGTTTTTAAACATCTCTCTCTCTGCTTCTTTAAAGGTACTCTGTATTATTCTG